AATTATTTTTAAAAATTAAAAAATTAAAAAATTAATATATATTGATAATTATGAATTTTAAAAGTTTAAAAATACTATGATAAATTTAAAAATTTTTATTTTTTTATAATTATTAGATATCAAAATATTTTAAGTTTTCTAAAATGTTTTAAAAACAGTTTTATACTTACAGTTTTAGAAATAATATTTTAACAAGTCTAATTCAATATTAAAGATGGCACTGCAACTAGTTGCAACCATGTGATACTTATTTGTCACCAGTTGTAACTAGTTGTAACTCAATTTTTATTAATGTTGTAATTAGTTGCAACCTTGTGATGCTTATTTGTCACCGATTGCAACCAGTTGCAATGCTATCTTTATTCAATATTCTTATGATTGATATGTAATATATTATCTTTTTTATTTTAATTTCAATATTTATAAGAATACTGAAAGATTTTACATGTTATGATAGGCAATATCTAGCATAAAAATTAGGAAGATTTATAAATTTTAGAAATAACTATATTTAATATAATACAATTAGTAAAATAATATTAAATTTTAAAACAATAAAAAATATATTACTTAAATTAAAATTTGTCATTTCTTTTTCAAATATTTTAAGATTTTCATAGTCTTTATCTATTAATAAATGCTTATATATTAATTGAGAGTATTTTGATATAATTGACTAATATTTAATAATCATATTAGCTACTTGATTATAATGCAAATCTATTTTTTCTTGCTATTTTACTAATACTGATGACTTAAAATAATCAGTATTTAAAAATAATTTAATATAAATAATATCATTAATTTAAAAACTATTATTTATGAATTATTATGATTTATTAAAGAAAATACAATATTAAATATTTAGTTGACTATTTCTAATTAAAAGCAGTCTAACATTATAAAGCTTTTAATATAATTGATAGAGTTTAAAAGTTTTAACTATTATTTTGAAAATTTAAATATCTTCTATATTCTAATAAAACTTGATTCACTATTTAATTTTATGATTCTCCCATGCATCATTATGTAATTCTAAGAAATTGTATAAAATAATAGAACAATATATCATATTTATAGCATTTTAAAAGATATTTTTCTCAAACTAGCAAATCTATTTTTTATCTTATCAAATAAATATTCAATAACAATTCTATGTAATGAAAAAATATGATTAAATTTTGCTTAAGTTTCATTTAGATTATTAAATAGTTTAATAAGAAATGATGATAAAAGATAAGCATTATCTCTAATTAAATTGATTCCTTTTAATTAAAGTTGATTTATTAAAATAAAAATAAGAATTCTGATATACTTTTGCATTATGCATACTTCTAGGTTAACCTATATCATAACTAATAAAAATATCTTAATGATCAACTATCCTTTAATATAAAGTATATCTTTTTTTTCTTGTAAAGTAAAGTTATGTTATTCAATAGGTTATTTAATAAATTGTAATTTATTTAAAATAATACCTTTTATTATTTATTTACAATATAATATAACAGTTTTTCAACTATTTTATAAAGAAAAAACATTTTTCTTTGATCTTAATTTTCTTAGAAATACAATCAATTGAAGTTCACAGATGCTTATTGAGTTATATAATTTGAATGAAAAACTGGATGAATATTAAGTACGTTAATCAATGCTTTAAAACTTTCTGAAAACATTCTCATAATTTTTTAAATCTATTATCATCATAAGAAGATAAAATATAATTGTACTAATATTGAAATTTAGCTATATTATATATACAAGATTCTAAATAACAAATTTTATTTAAAGCTAATAAACTAAGTATAAAAATTTTGATTTTATCTTATTTATTATAAATCAGTATTATTTTATCTAATTTGTGTAATATATTTTTAATAAGTTTTTCTTCTATAACTTGCTGTAATTCTTTACATATATGCGACATATAAAAAAATATAAAATATTCAACCTAAATTTTGATCTAAAATAGTTCAATACGTGATCTAAATAGAGAAATTTTATTAGATAATTTTGTATAACATAAATTGACCAAAAAATGCAACTGATCAATTTTAAACAAAACTAATTGAGTATAATTTGTACAGTTTGATCAAATCATATTGTAAATAATAAATATATTAGTTACTGATATCATTATATTAGTTTATCAAGATTGATCAGAGATGAACAAACACCTATTTTTATAGATCAGTTTGACTAACCACTGATTAATTTAATAACTAATTATTTAAAGGCATATTTTGTAGTCAATCTGATCTAGAATTGAATAGGGCTATTATCACATATTATTTATTTAACCAATTATAATACTATTACACACATTAATTATTAACTTATAAAAATAAACTTTCTTTATACTTTTGATTAAATATAATGCATATGCTTAAAAATATAATTCAAATAACATTTGATATAATATATAATATTAAAATATGCTTTCAAATTATTGCTTAAATTTAATTGGATAAGTTAATATTTAAATTTAATTGGTTAATTATTATATATTTTCAATCTGTGTAATAATCGATTTCTTATATATATATTGTATTTCAGATTAATTCTTATCTCAGATTATAACTAACGTATCTCAGATTACAATTATCAAGTAAGATGCATAATTTAAATCAATGATCATCTAAGATACTGCAGCTATAATCTGAAATAATCTAGTCAATTATAGTAATTACACATTTTTTTAAATAAAATAAAAAAAAAATATGTTTAAAATTGAATATTACGTTACAGTTTTTAAAGTATATATTTTATAAATATTGTGTTATACATCTTATAATAAAATATACTTTTATTAGCAAAGATACTTTTAATGAAATAATTGAGTGTTATATAATAAGTCTTTTAGTTTTTAAATAAGAAAAGGCTTTAATTAATCTTAAATAAAGATGGTGCTGTAACTAGTTGCAACTATGTGATACTTATTTGTCACCAGTTGCAACTAGTTGTAACTCAATTTTTATTAATGTTGCAACTAGTTGCAATCCTGTGATGCTTATTTGTTACTGGTTGCAATCAGTTGCAACGTTATCTTTAATCTTAAACTTTTAGATAAAGTTAAAAATGTATTATTAAATCCAAAAGATCATAGTATTTATAATAAAAATACATAAAATTGAATTAAGAAAAAGTTTAAGCTTAAGGAAATAATACCTGATGACTATAGAGTTATTATAAAAATAAATAATAAATATGTATAAAGTTTTATATTGAACTCATATTGAAGTTATACAATATAAAAGACAAAAACAAACTTGAAAATCAATTATAGAAAAATAGAATTAGATAAAGCAAAATATTGTAAAAAAATTTGTTAATAATTATATGATATGTATGATATATGTGATACAAAAACTATCATTTTATCCTTGAGCTGTAAAACCTATTATTGCAAATGATTTTTTATCTCGTATTCAAGTAAATATCAATTTATTAATTTTTATAATAAGTATCATTTGTTTTTTTTTAAAATATTTAATTTTATATTATTTTTTAATTTATTAATTTATTTATTTATTTTTAGATTGATCTTATTAATTTATCATATGATACTAATAGGAAGTTTAAATATATATATTATTTACAAGATCATTTTACAAGATTTTTATAGGTTAAGACTCCCACTTCAAAAAGATTAGTTGAAGTTTCTACATATATTTTGATCTTTTTCATTTTATAAGATTCTCTCTAACTATATTACAATCAGACAACAGTAAAAAATTCTGTGCAGAAGTAATTAAAGAATTAATTGAATTATAACTATCAGTAAAGATTATAAATAGACGTTTTTAACATTCACAATTTTAAGATCTAATTAAACGCACTAATGGAATTTTACAATAAAAATTAAAAAAGTAAAAGAGGATACTAGTTAAAATGATTGGTCTTTTGGTTTTAGATTTATTATTTTAGTTATAAATAATTTATGATGTCAATTTTATAAAAAACTTTATAAAAACTTGTTTATGAATCTAAACCATATAGTAATTGTACATTAGTTGATAATTTATTTGAAAATAGTATTTGTGATAAAAAATTATTTCAGATACTATATAAATATTTAATAATTATATTAAAAATTTAAATAATGATATAGTATTTAGACAAGGTTAGATTTTTTTTATCATTTATTATTATTGAATAAGGTAAAAGTATTAACAATTTTAATTTAATTTATTTTTTTTTAGATTTTTTAGTATTGTTAACATTATTCACATCATTAATATTAGTGATACTATAAGTATTATTAACACATTAGTACCAGTAATACCATTAATATCATTAGTACCATTAATACAATCAATACCAGTAGTGCCATTAGTATCATTAGCATCATTAGCACAACTAGCACAATCAATACTAGTAGTATTATCAGTACTATTAGTACCATTAGCATAACTAACACAATCAGTATTAACAGTACTAGTTGTATCATTAATAGGTATTTATAAATACTTTATTTTTATTTATTGTTATATTTAATTTTTTTTATTTTTATTACTATTAGTATTATAAACATTAGATATTATAATTAAATAAAGTATTTTTTATTTAATTAATTATTTAATCATAATTACATTTTAATTTTCATTGATCTTATTTTTCTCAATATTACAAATGAAATTACAATACTAGTCACAAATACAAGACATGAAATTTTGAGAAGAACTGCTTGTCAAGATCTTGAGAATTATAAAAATAAAATGATAAACTAAATAAACAAAAAGTAGAGCTCTGAACAGGTCAGTTCAGATCAGGTCAATCAAGTTACCTGAACTGAAAGGATCAGGTCAGGTCAAACAAAAATCTGATCTGATTTAAATTTTCATTTGACCTGACCTGACCTGATTGAATAAAACATTATTTTTGAATGATAAAACTATCATTTTTGAACGATAAAATATCATTCTTGAATAATAAATTATCATTTTTGAATGATAAAATCATCATTCTTGAATGATAAATTATTGTTTTTGAACGATAAAATCATTATTCTCAAATGATAACTAATTGTTTTTGAACGTTAAAATCATTATTCTCAAATGATAACTAATTGTTTTTGAACGATAAATCATTATTCTTGAATGATAATGAATTATTTTAATTGAATGATAAAACATCATTCATAAATGATAAAACCATCATTTAAGAATGATAAAATCATCATTCTTAAATGATAAAATCATCGTTCAAGAATGATAAAACTATCATTCTCAGATAATAATAAATCATTCTAATTGAATGATAAAACTATCATTCTTAGATAATAAAAAT